GTGGCACTTCCGCCGATTCACGCCGGCCAGGCACGAAGATTAATCGCGCGATCGTCTCACGTACATAGCGTGTACGCCGTACGAGAGAGCGGCGCTTATCTCGCACCGAGGCACGCTCTCTCTCACTCCCGATCGATCGATCTTGGCGCTCCGCGCCCCGCAATCCTTTGTCCCGCGCGTACGTATCGATCGATCGGCCCGCGATTCACGCGTGTGACAGGTTTAAATGTACATATCATACTTTATTCCACTTTCGTTTCGATATGGCGCGGGGGCGCTTATTGTTCTGCCAGTTGCGCGGTAACGAACGTCGGCGCGAAACATAGCGCAACCACGGAATGCACTTAATCAAATTTCGATCGGCGAGCACGAAAGCATATTTATTGCGCTATCGTCCTATCGCGCCGTTTTATCATTGATGATTGATTACCGACGTAACAAGAATTTATCGTAGTATCGGGTTCAGGTCGGCGTTAGCAACAGGTACTCGCGTCCGTCGGCTAAACACGTTTCCGAGTTGGAGCATCGAGCGAGTCATTGATTCCTGCGGGTACAATCGTGCGGCGCGGATGCCTGCTTTTGTCGTCCTCGTCGTCGATGAAGTCGCGAGCGCCGAAATTAAGTGTCGCGTTGTCGCGCGTCACGGTCTTGCTACGCGGTAATCGCCGTAGCTCGCTCTCTCGGCCGCGGCGAGCAACGTTCTCCCAGCTGAATTACGATGGCTCTCCCGGATGCCGCGTTTCCATCCGCCGCGGGTACACCGAGCTCGGGGATGTATCTCGTGCACATTGACGGGGCGTGCGTACAAAGCCAGTGTTCCCGTATCTGGTCTCCCTCGAATTTTCCGTGTGACGTCGCCGGACGGCAGCCCCCAGCCCCGGCGAATCTCTCGGGTCTCGTTATCGATGGAGGCCATCGCGTATACGATCGTGTTCGTGCGAGCCATAGGACGCCCGGGTACGACATCGTTACGCCGCCGGGTGTAGCCTCCCTTCCCCCTGGCCACGGGGCGTTACGCCTTTACGACTCTTTCATGTAATTGTCGAGCTCGTGAACTTTTACGAGCGCGCGAACCGCGAGAGCACGGCGAGAGACCGGCCGCGAAGCAATGCCACCCGATACATTTCGCGTCGAGTACACGTCCTCCGGACTTGGTGTTTCCGCTCGCGAAACGCGCGCCGTAACTGCGCTGACGCGAGACACGAAAATGTTTCTATTTAAATGCGAAAATGGTGGCCGAGGTAAGGGAATTAATTCCCGCGCGCGATATATACGCCGAGGCCCGACTCGCCGAGTCATTCCGTAGCACGAATACACGGGCGTAAAACACGAGCTATCGCAGTCGTACACGTAGGCCGGCGGCGTGTTCTCGATTAAGCCGATTCCGACCGCGGGGTAACGAGGTTGCATCGAGGACGAAATTTGCAAATCGTACACGATCGGAGACGTCGTCGTCGACTAAAGAGCACACTCGGGAACGGTTTTCATTCGGAGACGATGAAAAGCACCGATGTCTTTCTCTCCTTCTCTGGCCGAGGGGGGACGAGCCAAGGCACGTTCGTGGGGTAGATACCGATCGTGATCGATATCGTTTGGCTGCTCGTGAATTGAAAAGAGATTGCGCCATCCCGGAGTCGTTTTCGCGATTCAATCGGTCACGATTAGAGACGACGATCCGCGGAGCGAGTTTTCAGCTAATAATTCAATCCGAGACTTCCCCCCTCCCCTCCCCGACTGTTTTTCGAACGGGAGAGAATTTTATATGAACACAGATAAAGGCTCCATTTATTCCCGACCTCAAGAAAGGATATCGGAGGTCTGCCGTCGGAGAGCGCCGGAATACTCTCCTCTCAATTCTTGATGTAAAAACGAAGATGCGAGGCGTATCAAATATCGATACTATGAAATATTCGCGATCGCGCTGTATCTCGGGGTTTACGTGGCTTCCACTCCATTATCGTAACCGATTGTCGCTGTTCGCCCGTGTTCCCTCGCTCGTATTAGACATCTCGACCGCGAGAGTGGCGTTTCCAGTCTCGTGATAATTAAGATCCCCGATCTCCCGTCTCCGAGGGTTTCCCTCCCTCGGTGGAGTCTATTAATTAAAAACCAATTGCTTCGTTGGGACGATCTCCGACGGCGAGACTGATCTCCGCGCGGCTTCTTTGTACATATATACCGCCGTCTTTCTCCTTCTATCCGCAAATCCGCTGAAACGCAGGCGGAAAAGAGAAGTCTTTCGCCGCGCTACATTTTAGGCGGCAAATTAATAATAATAATAAACAAAAATTCGTAATTAGTCCTTTGATGGCGGAGAAACTCAATGATAAAAAAAAAGAATGCATTATTGGTGAATTTTGAATCGCCTTTCTTTTTTTTATTTCGTTGCCGACGTTTCAATAAAGTTGATGTATTTAAACATAATTAAATTTTACTATACGCTAACATAAGCTGCGGGCTTTCAGCGAAATTATTATTTTCGCAAGAACAGAGCTGATTGAAATATACATTTCGCGATTTATTGATAATGCTCGCGAGCGCGAATGTAATAAAAATATGGGCGGATTAATTTATATTTAAAAGCGGAGCGCGCGCGGGGCCAAATTTCTACATTTATATTTTCTATATATACATTGTAGCGCTCGCAATTTACAAAATAATCGTAATTTCGAAGATAAACCGCGCCGAATGAATATCGAATTATTAAAACAAACGGGTTTAATTAATCGCGGCCTGTCCGAAGCAGGTTCGTAAAATATTCATCCAGACGAATTTGCCCGCGTTTGAAGTATTAACGATAATTCTACCGCATTGCAAAATAAATATTACCGGTGTCGTTAAAATCGTAACGCCGAGAACATTGCGTTCGAAAGCGCGAGACACTGTCTTCCTCGACCGCGTCTCGGCGTCTATCGCGCATTTATTGCGTTACGTTCCCTCCCTCCCTCCCTCTCCCCCTCGTATATACGCGAGAAAAACTCTAAACCGACTGTCGCGGCCGCACCGATATATTAAAACGCGGTTTAGTACGCTCTTTACGACCGCCGGGCAATAAAGCCCGTTTCACAACGGTCGTTGATTCCGCCGGGGAATAATGCGGCGACTATATTCAAGACGCTCGTTAAAATCGCGAACTGCCGGATTTTCTCTCTTTTCCTCCTTGGCGAGCGTCGTTACGCCGCTACCCTCCCGCCTCCGCCGCCGCCGCCGCTGCCGCGCGCTGATACTGCGTCGGTGCGGAATACGCGCTCGCGACGTGCGGAAATGCTCGGGACCACTGCTGCGGCGAACGTTTACGTTAAATATGTAAGCGCTATTTCGTTGCGAGCCTTTACGATCAGAAATCCCATGCGTGCGAAATGAGAACCGCTGTTCGGTAAGCGAATTAGTTAAAGCCAGCCCCGGCTGAGTCTTGTACACACGATGTAGAAACGATGTTACGAGAAACCGGTCTTTGGCCGACACGCATACGCACACGTGCACTGGGCGGCGTGTGCGCGCACGTACGAGCCTTTTCTCCCTCTCGGGGAGAAGGAGATGAGAGAGAGAGAGAGTGAGAGAGAGGGGGGGAGTGCTCCTTTCTCATCCTCGTCTTCGTTTTTCTCATTTTCTCGCGCTTATCCCTCTTACCGACTGACTGCGGTCTCGCATTACGGCTCAATTTGGTCCGCTTTTCGTAATCTCGTAATCTCATTTGATCGATATAATCTCAACCCTGCAATCGCGAAGCAGGCCCTTAAGGATCCTCCGCGAGGCGCTCTTACCGCACAGCCGTCATTACGGATTCAAGCGGCATCTTGGTTTGCGAAACTCGATAATTCGATTAATCCCGCCGAGTGGCTTTGCGTCTTATTCGATGCGATATTTATACGCCGATTTCGGTTATTTCTGCACGGGTCGTTATGTATAAAAGTAATACGGCGAATACCGCGACGAGTCTTACTGTCGTCGCGGCGGAAGATAAAATCGATACGCGGTCCGCTCTCGCGGGCGTCTCGCGAACATCCGCGGCATTGCGTTCGTGGCGCAAATTTAATCGAATTTCCTCGGCTTTCCGTGGGAGAATAAACGGAAATTTTACGCGGTAACGTCTTACGGGGTAGGATAAAATGACAAAGCCGTAACGTAAATACGAAAATTGGATTTCGCGTGAGCAACCTTCCGGCAAAGTTCAGGCTTTTGCATGAGAAAGTCGGCGTTACGCTGCTAGTTCACGCACGCATCACCTTACGCTTAACGTCGACGTGGCTTCGTTAACGGAACGCATATATAACGTAGCTACGCAACACTACGCTTGTACTAATTTCGTACTAACATCGTAATTTATGCGATTACGTTCTAATCTCACCATTTCATTTACTTTTGCAGTATTACGAGATGTCGTACGGGCTCAACGTGGAGATGCACAAACAGGTAAGGGACTCGGGCTTTCCGCTTACATTATTTTAAGTATCTCGAGAGTGCGCGGCGAGGAACGATATCGTCGTGATCGATACGCGCGACGTCAGCCGGCGGTGATTTATTAATCGCTCAGTTGGCACGTTGCGCGGGGGCTTTGGGCTTTAATCCAAAATTAAAGGGCCGAACACGAGGAGAAAGCCCCGATTACGGGGTGTTTGCGACCCTCCGGGATCTTAGCTATTGAATAAATATGTAAACAAGGTAATAACATGCAAATAGCAGGGCGGCTCCCCGCCTTGCCTCTTGCGCAAAACCTTGCGCGGTGGGGGGCGAAAAAAGCAACCTAACTCGACTTGCAGACTTTTATTAAGAACTACCGAGATTACCGTGCTTTCAGAAAGCACTCGGGGGCGAATCGCGCCGCGCGTTTTCGCATCTCCCCGCGCCGCGCGGAAATCAAATAATACTCGTATTCCTCCCCCCCCCCCCCGGTCTAACATCGTCTACGTGTGTTATTTTTGAACAGAGATCCATTTCGAGAATCTCCATTACAAAGATTTCGTAATCGGGCTCCTTTTGCAGCGCATCCATATTCATCGCGGGCCATTTAAATTTTTTATTTACCGCCACCGCGAGGCGCCGGTTTCATTCTCCTTCGAGGCAGTCGTCTCTCTCTCTTTATACGACGAGGGAAAGGTGGTGCCCGCGGTCGAGAATAATTTAGGGCCGACGTGGCTCCGCGAGGGAAACGGAGAAACGCCGTTAATCGATCGGTAACGAGACTCTCTTAATTACAGGACGCGTCCGCACCAAGTCGTACGCCCTCCCGGGCGGGCTTGACGCAATCTTATATAGCAATCCCGTCGGGGAGTCGCGCGCATTTCCGCCCGTTGTTATCCGCGGAATGGATTTTCGATCCGCCGTTCGCGACAGGTCTGAGAAATATCTCGTTTTGAGAAGCCGGCGTACAAGCGAATTCGCGGAATTATCGACAAGCCCGGCAATATCGGCGACGTAGCTCTCGAGTGTCCTGGAGGAGGCATTCTGTACACGCTGCCGAACAAGAATCTCGATCACGAATTCCGTGGAATAAATGGCGAGCCCTCTTTCTTCGCCTACTTCGATATTCTCGCCCCTCATCGACGCTTCTCCATAATCTATCTTGGGCGCGGGCGTGCAGCGACGAGTAATGCTCACGTTTATTGAATATTTAGCAGCCGAGCCCGTTATTTCCTTCACCCCCCCCCCCCCACCTCCCCTCCCTATTCTTTCCGTCTCCTCTTCTTTTTCCGGCAGGATGCGCCCCTGAAATCATGAATAAGACCTCGCGTCGGCCTCACGGTAGGTCTGAACGAAGCCAGTAGCGACGCAAGTCAGGTAGCGGCTTGCTTATCTCTTTTCCTGAGCGGGTATTCAACCGAGTAATGGTGTTGACGCGTTTGCGAGTATTTTAGATGTTGACGCGGCTGGGGAGATCGAACCGGCAGTTGCGCGAAATAATTACTTGTTAAAATTATTAATTCGATAAATTTGCATGTTGCATCACACTGTTTAAAAATCGCGCAAAGGAGATGCCTGGGGGGGGGGGGATATCGTGCACTGATAGGAAAGTATGTAGTATTTGAAACTACAATTGCACAGTAAAATAATTATAGTCAGGGATATCGTTTTTATAGTCATTATTACTACAATATTAGTAATAGCAACCATACAGACACAGTGATGTCAACTATTTAAAGAAATTTACTATAAAATGTAAGCCTTTAACCATTATCCTGTTAAAATATCCAGGTGATGAGTAGTAAATTGGTTAATTATTTTTATACAGCAAGTACAATCGCAATAATAGTAAATTTCACTACATTTCTATCATCCACCTTACTAACCGCATGGTAAACAAAAGTGAAGTGGTTCGGAAAATGTCCTCCCTAGAGGGACGCGCGGTACAAGACTTTCTCGTAAGAAGACAACCGCATAGGGTGTTATAAATACGGATAAGTTTATACACTCGTACAAGATTACTTATCTTTTCTTTGAAAGATGCTTGTACTATTCTTTACGAGTGCAAAGTGACGTAACCAATGAACATAGTGACTGCAATGTACATATAATAAAAAGCGGGGAATATAACTTGCAATATAAATACGATTATTACTATTGCACATAGTTGGTCGAAATTTTTCCTTGCGGTTGTTATTGCAATGTGTATAGTGCACTTTGCCAAATTAAAAGCTCGTTCTGGTGCATTGTGACAACCATGTCGTAAGTTGCATGGACCGATATTGTGTCTATTGAGAAGAATTATAAAAATGACTGTAAATTATAGTGAGATCGTGGCATCTCGAAGATTTTTTTTCTGCCAGTGTGTAGGAAGAGAGAAAATATGGGTATGTAAGAGAGCGCGCGCGCACACGAATGGAAAGGAAGGATTCTATTCTGGGAGAGAACGAACGATTTTTCCGTATGATCGAAACGTGGATTTCCGCTTGTAAGTCTCGTAGAAAAGTTACGTATTAAAGTTGAATGAAGAGCATAACTCTTTTAAGACCCCCCCTTCCACGGGGACATTCGTGCGCTACGCGGAGGAACAGGCCGCGAGATACGGCGCCGTGTGAAATGTGGTATCGGAGCGACGGAATATAAATTCCGATAGGAAATCGCAATACGATCGTGTCGTATCCGCCGTTTTATGTCCCCCGATATCCTCGAGATAAGCACTCGAGGCGGCACTCTGAAATACGACGTGACGGCCCCGCGCACTTTTCTGGATCGGAATGACGATTATTATCTGCTGTCACTTTTAATTCGGTCGCGATTTATCGCTTCTGGTAGCCGGACGGCTAACCAGGGATTTATTATTATCGGCCGGGCATTATCGCGCGCGATTTACACGCCCGTACACGCGCGCGGTGTACGCGGGATCCGCGCGCGCGCGCGCGCGTATCCGATATCTCATATTTATAAAATCGAAATGCCGCGCCGCGCGCCGACACGCACGCACCCGCCGCGCGGTACCCGCGCGAATTAATAGCCGGCCCGCGCGTTTATGACGAGAGGCCCGGGCGTTGTCGCGCTCGCGCGATGGCGTGGCAAAGAGAAAAAGCGCGCGAGACGAGAATGAATAACTGATCCGGCGATGCGAAAGGGCAAAATACCGCGGACGCCCGGGAATTATCGGGTGTTGCATTAATGCCGGCGACGACCGGTTTGGCAAGTGTCCACACGCAGCGAAACGCGTCCGTCCTCCCCCTCCCCCTCCCCCCCCCCTCTGCCCCCTTCCGCTCCCTCCCGGGAGGTTATTAACGTCGCTAATTCTCGGCAATTACTGTCATCATCGTCAGCCGTCTCTGACCGCAACCGAGCTGTTACGTTTTCCTGTTACACCTGTACGATAATCATTGTCAGCCGGAATCACGCCTGCCGGATAGTTTATGGATATATCGCGCGGCTATATAAACGCCCACGTTGACCGAACAGTTCTTCGATCGGCCGTATAATGCGCGAATTAATAAGGTAATTGGCACGGTGGCTCTCGTTTAACGTCCGAGCGTTATAGATACGGCCGGCAATTGTCGATTTCTGCGCCCGACGCGCTTATCAGACCGTAACGGTGTCTCTTTACCGCGAGTGTCGTTCTTCCCGTTCGGCGCCGGGTACAGAGGGAACGGAGGTTGTTATACGTCGCGACCGGGTTCACAGCTTGATTCTGACCCGTTTCGTCGTACACCGTCGGCCAATGACCACGCGGTCGCGCGCGCTCCCCGCGTTTTTATTTGCAGGAAGCGATGCGTATTGTAAACGCTTTCAGGCATTACTCTCGATTTTACTAACGCTATTACCGGCGATTCCGCAGCTGCACGTACGTGTCGGGGCAGTCGGAAAATTCACGCATGAAAAGTATGGGCGGCCACCACGAGTGATTCGATTTCGTTGTTTTGTTCGATTCGCTGGTTCGCTCCCCCTCGCGCGCTCGCCCTCCGACACCCCCCTTCCTCCCCCGGGCGCTTGTCTTCCCCGCCCCCACCGGTTGTCTCTCCATATCCATCCCATATACAGTGCGCTCATTATTCATTTATCGGTTTAACGAGCACGTCCGCGATAAAGCGTCGCGAAATATCGATATCGGATGGTCAATACCCGCTCGGCTCGCTCGGTCCCTTGTTTGGCGCGTGCTCCACCTTTCACTCGGAAAAACAAAAGATCGGCCGATCGCGATTTCGCCCGGCGTATCCGAGACGCGTACGCTGCCAGCTCGTTATCGAGATAACGACGGGCGACGGGTCGAGGGAATTGTCGGGCGATTTCGAGATTTCTCGAACAAACGAAACGTTTAACGTTCGTAAAATTGTACGCCTCTATATTTTTCATTGAGGGCGTCTGGGGGAGGAGGAAAAAAATACGCGACGCTCGAGGAATCTCGTTGGGCGCTTCATGAATAACTTCTCAAAAGCGTCCGGTAGCTCGTCATCCCTTGCTCGCGAGGGAGAGAAAGAGAGCGAGAGAGGGGGGAGGGAGAGGGGAGAAAGAGAGTGACTGCGCGAAATGTGTGCGCGGCCGCCGCTTTTTTTCCCGTTTTTATTGTGTCTGCAGTGCCACTGGTTTGATCGGTCGGGCCGCGCCAGGTGGAGGCGGAGGAGCAGATGGTGATTGAGAGGGAAGCGGGTGAGGACGGCGGGAGGACGGGGGACAGGGGAGGCGAAGGGAGAAGGCGCGCGCGCGCGCGCGGCGGGGGTGGTCGTGTGGGCTGAAGGGAGAAAAAAGAGGGCGAGTCCGGGCCGTCGCAACGAGCGGAGGAACGAATGGGACGTTGGTGTCAGGCGGGGGGGCAAGGGGGTAGAACAGGGTGCACGTCGGAAGGGGGAAACCCGGGAGCAGCCGCCGCCACCGCCGTTGGGGGTGGATGGGTAGCGGTCGGGTGGCCGTGGTTGACGGTGGGGACGCGTTGGCGGTGGCTCGGCGTTGGTTCGGGGGTGGCGGGGGGCGGCGGGGGCGGTGGGGCGGGAAAAAGCGAA